TCAAAAGTTTTGAATGATTAGAAAACCCCAAAACCCCGCAAATCCAAATCTAGAAAATATGGCCTTTGATGAAATAAAGTTAATTAATTTATATGGGATAGTTATATTTACAACATACAATTCAGCTAAAGTAATTGGGCTTTTCTTATCATTCAAAATTTTTGACCATTAATTGAAAAAATGAGAAAATTTTATTGTTCAAGACTCATATCTCTCCTTTGTAAAAGCCTCTCTTTGTTATAGCTTCTAAGGTAAGCCATCCTCTATTTTATAGGAGAGTCCTACTCGGTTATATTTCTATGTGTAATTATTTTTAATCTTGGAATTTGAGTTAACTTTATTGTCTGATATTATTACAGAATTTTGTTTTAGAATAGTTTTTTGTCAACTAATCGAACTTTTGAGTTTATTATAGAATGCTAATTATTGAGGGTAGTTGATAGCTATCTGTTGCTCAACTTTCCTTAAATTTTCTTGAGATATTGGGAGGATGGGCTGAAAGCCTTAGAATAATAGCTTCCCTCAAATCTCTTGGTAAGGGCATATTTATCTTCACCTCTGTAATTGTTGTTCGAATTTATTGTTGACATGTTAGTAGAGGCATTTCTTGACTGATTACATTTATTTGGATCTTCTTAAGTTTTCTATTTCAAACTGGTGAAGATTGGATTAAGTATGACTACATTTGGATCGATATCTAAATCTAAGGTAAACTTTTCCTTTCTGTACTTTTTAGCATTATCATATCTTGCTTTTAATCTCTACTATTCTTCTAGCAATTACTGTGCAGTTTCAACTTCTATATAATTGCTGAAGACTGAAGAAGTATGGCTCTCGATTTTATCATTATTAGCTTCAATTGTATGATTTCGGTTCTTAACCTAATTAAAGTATTCAAGAGGGGTAATATTTCTAGATTTAATTTTTCTTTGGCCCAATTCTATAACTTACTAATTCTCTAAATTTTTGAAGTTATGCTTTCCAAGAGAAATGATCTTTCTCAACTTTGAGCTAGATTCTGTGATTGGTTATTCTCTCTCACTTTAAATGTTAGAAATAGATCACTTATAAGTTCTAATGTCTTTTATTTCCTTATACTTATTTCTAATGCCTCTCATTGTAAATGCTTGATTCTAGTTTCCAATTTTGCCTTTACCTTAAATGTTCTTTTATGGACTTGTTATAATATTGAAATTTTATGTATTATTTAGATTTTTTGCTAACTAAATAAAGTCAAGAGTGTAATTAGAGTAGGGATCCATTGAAGATTATAATATTTATAAACTTTAATCTTATTTTATTTTTTATCCCTCAAATTATGGATTTTTATAGAATTTGAGGGTTTTGGGGTTTTGGGGTTTTGGGGTTTTGGGG